GATCTTTCGGACTGAATACGGCCGAGGGCCATACGTGAGGATATACTGAGTGATATGGGGCCGAGGGCCTGAGATACATTTATGCGCCACGAAATGGCTTGAGTGATGTGAGGCCGAGTGCCGAGAGATGATGCCACGAGGTGGCTTGATATAGCGCTTAGGCCGTAAGGGGCCCCTCCAGAGTCTGTACACCCCCAGTGAGCGCGGGTACCCATTTGATCCGAGAGTGAGCCCGAGGGGCTGATACTATACTGAGAGTGAGCCCGTGGGGCTGATACTGTTCTGAGTGATTGATACTGTGCCCGAGGGGCGGATTTCTATTTGTTATTTACTTGTCAAATTACCTGTTTTACTTGTTAAAAAGGGATTTTACTTGATTACTTCATTAATTTATCGTTTAAAGTGATTTTACTGCTTCTGTATAGATTATTTTGTGCTTTCGCGTGTTTTCTTGCTTTCAGTCATTATTTATATTTATTACTCACTAGGTCGGAGTACTCACATTGCTCCCTGCACCGTGTGTGCAGATTCAGGCATAGCAGGTCCCGCTCCCGAGTGTTGACTCATCCCAGCTTAGGCGGATCTTCGAGGAGACTTTAGGTAGTTGCTGGCGTTCGCAGCCTGAAGCTTCTCTCTATCTATATCTTTACTTTTCACTCTAGTATTGAGACCTTGTAGTTACATTTGAGAGATTTGTTATCTTAGACGCTCGTGACTTGTGACACCCCAGTTTGGGCTGTGTCGGGATGGTTTTCCCCTTATTGCTATCTATGTTTCCGTAAATTTATTACTAGTAAATCATACTTTAAGCTGCTTTGTGATCATTAACTACTTCAAAAGGTGTGTTGTATTTGGTTCGGCTGGCCTTGTCTTCACGAGAGGCGCCATCACGACCGAGTTCGGGGTTAGGGTCGTGACAAGTTGGTATCAGTGCCTAGGTTGCTAGGTCTCACGAGTCATGAGCGGGTTTAGTAGAGTCTCGCGGATCGGTACGGAGACGTCTGTACTTATCCTCGAGAGGCTGCAGAACTTAGGAAGCACTTCATATTCTTGAAATTCTTGTCGTGCGAGCTTATTGATCCGAGTACTAAACTTCTCCTTATTCTATTCTCTCATAGATGGTGAGGACACGAGCTACCGGACGAGGTGGACGACCACCAGTACCACCCACTTAGGCCACCAGAGGCCGTGGCCGCGGTCGTGGACGTGGCAGAGGCAGAGCAGCGAGGGCAGCACCTGTTGATCCACCAGTTGCCCCAGCTCCGGATCAGGCTCCGGCAGCACCAGTTCAGGCACCAGCTGTGCCCATCGTGATTCCGGGTCTTCAGGAGGCCTTGGCACAGATCTTGACAGTTTGCACTGGCCTGGCTCATGCAGTTTCAGCCACCACAGTAGCAGCCACTTCACAGGCCGAGGGAGGCAATCAGACCCCCGCTGCTCGCACACCTGAGTAGGTAGTGCAAGGATTACAGACGCCGGAGGCACCTCCAGCCCAGTCGGTTGCACCAACTCAGCAGTTCATGGTACCAGTTATGCCGGATGATAAGCAGCGTCGCTTGAGAGGTTTGGTAGATTCCAGCCTCCGTCATTCAGTGGTGCTGAGGGCGAGGATGCCCGGGGTTTTCTGGATAAGTGTCAGCGGATGCTCCGCACAGCAGGGATTCTTGAGTCTAGTGGTGTGGCATTTACCACCTTTCAGTTTTCTGGGGCTGCTTTCACTTGGTGGGAGGCGTATGAGCGGCGTAGGCCGGTTAGTGTAGCTCCCCTTACTTGGCAGCAGTTCTCCACTCTCTTCTTGGAGAAGTATGTACCGTAGTCCCGCAGAGAGGAGCTGCGTCGACAGTTCGAGTGGTTCAGACAGGGGGATATGACTGTGTAACAGTACGAGTCGAGGTTTTCTGAGTTGGCTCGTCATGCCATCTGGTTAGTTCCGATAGATCGAGAGAGGATCAGGAGATTTGTGGATGGTCTTACTTATCAGCTCCGTATTCTTATGACCCGAGAGAGGGTATCTGGTGATACGTTGGAGGAGGTGGTGGATATCGCCCGTGAGATTGAGTGGGTTCGCCGGCAGGAGCGAGAGGAGAGGGAGGCCAAGAGGCCTCGAGGATCGGGCAGTTATAGTGGTGCTCCTTCGAGAGGCTAGTTCCAGCATGGTAGAGGTCGTTCTTTCAGGCCTGCTCAGTCAGCCCACCCAGAGTATCGAGGGGCATCTTCAGGTCGTGGTTATCATGGGTCTCAGCAGGGCCAGCCTTCACTCAGCGCCCTCCCAGCTCAGAGCTCATCTCGTGCCCTATCCGCTCAGGGTTCTTCTATGCCGAGTGCATCTGCTAGTCACTCAGGTGCGAGGGGTTCCCTTCAGTCCTCTTCTCCAGTACCTGGGAGTTATTTTGAGTGTGGAGAGTTTGGGCATATGTGGAGGCAATGCCCTCGCCGTGTTGCTAGCTCGTCTCAGCAGAGGGGTCAGCCCTCGACTTCTGCTCCAGTTACTTCACCACCCGCCCAGCCAGCTAGGGGTGGAGGTCAGGCAGCCAGTGGTCACCCCAGAGGGGGAGGTCGATCAGGCGGCGGCCAGGCCCATTTTTATGCTTTGCCAGGCAGGTCCGATGCTATTGCCTCCGATGCTGTCATTTCAGGTATTATTTCAGTCTGCCACAGAGATGCCTCTGTATTATTTGATCCTGGATCCACCTTTTCTTATGTGTCTTCGCACTTTTCTCATTATGGGTACGCCCCGGGAGTTTCTTGCTTTGCCTGTTCATGTATCTACCCTGGTGGGCGATACTGTTGTTGTAGACCGTGTGTACCGGTCATGTGCGGTGATTATTGGGGATCTGGAGACCCGAGTTGATCTTTTATTACTGAGTATGGTGGATTTCGATGTCATTTTGGGCATGGATTGGTTATCTCCGTGTCGGGCTATTCTAGACTGTCATGCTAAGACAGTCACTTTGGCTATGCCGGGTGTACCGCGGATCGAGTGGCGTGGTTTGACTGATCATGTTCTAAGTAGAGTGATCTCTTTATTGAAAGCCCAATGTATGGTTGGGAAGGGTTTCCTTTCATATCTGGCGTTTGTGAGGGACGTGGGAGCTGAGACTCCTAGTATTGATTCTGTTCTAGTTGTAAGGGATTTTCCCGATATTTTTCCTGTAGACCTGTCGGGCATGCCACCGGACAGGGATATTGATTTTGGTATTGACTTGGTGCCGGGCACCTAGCCCATTTCTATTCCGTCGTATCGTATGGCACCAGCGGGGTTGAAAGAATTAAAGGAGTAGCTTCAGGAACTCCTAGATCATCCGGCCTAGTGTGTCACCTAGGGGTGCGCCAGTTCTGTTTGTGAAGAAGAAGGATGGCACTATGAGAATGTGCATCGATTATAGGCAATTGAACAAGGTAACAGTTAAGAACAAGTATCCTCTGCCTCGCATTGATGATTTATTCGACCAGCTTCAGGGAGCGAGGGTGTTCTNCAGACCCATGTAAACTCGCTGCCCCAATATCTGCTCTGGAATACCATGGTGCGGGCATATAACCAACATTCCTTTGAATCGTTCCCATGTTTCTTGCAGTGTCTCCATTGGTTTCTGTTTGAAGCTCAAAATTTCATCAATTTGCTGAGCAGTCTTGTTGGGTGGATGAAACTTATTCACAAATTGCTTGACTAACTCCTCGCAAGTCGTGATGGAGTTAATGGGGAGTAAGTTTAGCCAAGTCTGGGCAGCTCCTGTCACTGAGAATGGAATCAACAATAGCTTTATTGCTTCCTGAGTTACGTTGGGCTGCCATTGAGTTTTGCAGATTGACAGAAAATTTTTCAAGTGCTGTTGAGGATCTTCAATGTATGACCCCGAAAATAGTCCCTTGTTTTGCAACAAGTGCAGCATGTAGTTTGTGATTTGAAAAGATTCGACCTGTATCTACGGGACTAATATCGTTGTGGCCAAATTCTCAGTTGTGGGTTGCGCCACAATCATATAGAGGAGCCTCTGGCACAAGAGGTGCCACTACTTGCGCAGCCGGATCTACCACGTTATCTCCCATGTCTGGTTCGAGTTGTTCAGTTGATTGTTGTTGTTTGCTTTTCCGGTTGGCCCGATTCAAGGCCTTGAAAATATTCTCGGGATCTGATAATGCTTCAAATACTTCACCAGTTCTCGATGAGTTTCTAGGCATGCACCTGTACAACCAAGTCAACAAACGTTAAAATTTCAATGTATAGATTGAAGGTAAAGAAAACTGACTACAATAAGAATTTTTTTGTATTTCTTTCAACTGTAATTGATAACACCGTTAATTCCCCGGCAACGGCGCCAAAATTTGATCACGCCCAACTATGCCTTATAAAAAGGACAAGCGGTCGTTGCAAATATAATCTGAGTATTTAGCCCAGACTCGAATCCATAGGGAATTAACCTACCAATTACTTTTGTTAGACTCACTAAATTCTTCGTAATCAACTTCCCAAATATTTTGAATAACAATTGGTGATACTTTTACTAACTATAACTAAACGAAATTAAGTAAACTAAAAACTAACTATGATTGAGTTGTAAACAATTAAGAGAAGTATCTAAGGTTGTGATTTCCCCTATTGATGGAATCCCTTCCTGTTATGTTTCATATAGATTTGCATAATTATCTCTATCGATCATGAGCACTCTTACTACCGTAAATCTCTCCTGAGTAATTACGACAATTTACTAGACGCACTCTCCCAAGTTACGCTAGCTGGCTTTTATCACAGCTCACTTTAGATCACACCCAAAGCTTCGTTATCCCTAATCCCGCCTTTAAACCCTCGGTTATTGATTCCTCATATACTTTGGGAGTGGTGTTGTTCAATAATTACCTAAATATGCACTCTCTCCCGAGTAATACATACTAAATAGGCACAGCTAATTGAGGATCCTATCAATTAACTACAACAAGAACGTAGTTGAATAAATAGAGATTAAACTGGGCAAACTATATTAACATAACACGAAGTTCATCCTTCAACAGGTTCCATCAAAACCCTAGACTAAATAATTAGCTACTCATAAACGTGTTCATCATAGCATGAAAATTCATCATAAACGGTAAATATAAAAGGAAGAAAGGTAGAACTCGATGTCGAATTATCCTCCTTGCCTCTTGCCTCTTCTTGCCTTCAACTCAATTGTAAAAACCTTGATAATGTCTCCTTGGGCGAGCTGGACCTCTTATAGGTAAAGTAGAATTACCCCCGAGCTTTCAAGTTTACCCCTGAAATTATTTGCTCCGACCTGGACTAGCGCGGCCGCGCTCGTGCCCGCGCTAATGGCCACGCATATAGCATATTATTCTGCCTCGAGGTTCTGAACTAGCGCGGTCGCGCTAATGGCCGCGCTAAGCTGGGTCATCATTTTTGCTCTTCTTTTCTCTATTCTTTCAAATGTACTCAGCTCCGAGGGGCTTTCCTTGCTTTAATTTAGCTCCAAACACTGTCCTAAGTTCTCATAAGCGTAACTCGCTCCTGCAAAACATGAAACTCACAATTACAGCCAATTTATCGTCATTTAACTATCCTAGAATAGTGAAACATAGTCAAGTTGGGGCATAAATAGTCGCCAAACTACACATAAATCTAGCCTATTATCAATATTCAAGCACACAAAACTTCTGCATGTCATCTGTTATTGATATTTCTGCCTCAATATAGAAAATCCCAATCTGTCATAGAGAAAAGGAAGAACACGTGTTGGTTACTATGTTATACCAGTAAGAAAATTATACACGTATTGATATAATACCAAACTCACAGCATTTTGTGCCACAATGTCTGCGATGGGGATCACTTGTTGCTGAACAGGAAGCGATGTGAGAGAGGGGGATGACCCTGAAACACCACCTGATGCATAAGCTGAAAGTATATCTTTGTTCGTTTTTGCCCTATAACCACAACAAAAAGAGTATTCACTGTGCTGCATAAAGTCAAGTTAAAGTTAGCGAATAATACAAAAAAATGTTTACCAATTGATCAACTTCAATGCCTGGGGGATAAGTAGGATTTATTTGTATTGTTGAGTTGAATCTAGTTTGAAGTGATAAGCCTGCATATTACACAATATTTGTGTAAGGTTCTATTTTAAAAAAATAAATGTATAAGGAGGAAAAGTTTGAGAACATTAATACCGATAAGGAGATATTTTGATACTTCTTCCAAGAATTACAAGATATCCTTCATATTTTTGATTTTTTCCAAAAGCTCCACTCCTTCAATGTCTGCAAAGTCCTCCCATAAAGTGAGCAGAAAGTGCTTTTTCCTGCCAACACAGAGAATGTATTACTAAATTATTGAATATCTATTGTAAGGATATATGTACGTGTTGGAAAGAAGAGTAAGAGTATATATAATGTAAAAATATTGTACTGACTGATTGTTTTTAATAGTAATCTCCCGGCATCTATTTAAAGCACGACCTGCATATTTTGGACAGCCACAGCGGACGATGACTCCCAATATATCTGCTTGGGAAAAAAAATCAGAATGATCTTTCCGGAGCGAAGAAATATAATGAGGGGAATATATTTTTATAAGCCAAATGTTTCATCAAGGTAATAGTTGACAGGGGTGAATAACCAATTTCTGTAGCAGTGTGTTGTGGAGTCATCTGAGCAATGTGGTCGAAAGAAGTGATATTCAACTTTGCCGGTGGTAGCAGTGGTTTTTCACTCTCATTATTTGGCTCAATATGTTCCACTATAGTCTTGCGATCAAGCACCCAATAAAATTTATATATTGGTGGACCATATAAAGTTGATGAAGCTTTAACTTTTCCAGTGGAGATTAGATATGTCTAGAAGAATTTAAGCTTGTCAGCATAATATGGAATAGCATCGCCATACACGACTCACCGAATTTGTTGCTCCTGTAAAGTATCAATTTTCGTCACAAATGCAGTAAAATTATAATGATATAAAGTTGAATATATATTGTTGCAGTAGAGCTAATTAACTCTTCATCTTCAAAGATCAGATTTTGAAATCTAACTTTTTTCTCGGGACTCTCTCATTCTCGACTTATGTCGATAATTTGGACCTTACATATCCAATCTGGTGTATCAGTTGTTATTTGATTGATGTTGCCTCTTAGTGCCACGATATCCTGATAACAAAAAACAAAATTCTTGAGAGAAAGAGGATGATTGCAAAATTAAGATCAGTGACTAACATGCAAGCACAAATTTGGTGGGAAATCAAAATCAAATTAAAGTCGAAGGTGTCCAACAAAGGAGTCTTTTTAGTATGTTATACTTTTTAATCGGTTCACTTTCACTAATACTTTATTTATTTTGAGAAGGTTCACTTTCACTAATATTAGCAAACTATGAATGCATTGAGCGAACATAACATGTTATAAACGCAAACGCCTGAAATAAACAAAAAAAGCACCTCAGAAGAGTTTAATCAGAGGAAGATTTACTCTTATAAACTCAAAATAAAAATGCGGTCTTTGGTTAATCAAAGCCTTAGCCATCATAAAGCAAGAATGTATGAAGAAATTGAACTAAATAAACTCAATTTGAAAAAAGCTTATAGATTCCCAGGTTGGTAAAGAGGATTTGAGGGAAGCAAAAGGCCTTTGAGAGTGAGCTTCAGTGGTATTTTGCACAAAATGGCGCTTATTAGACCGTCCAATTGTAATGACCCGCCTAGTCGTTTTAAGAATTAACGCCCTGATTCCCTATTAACTGCTTTCCCCGTATTTATTTCTGCTATTGTGAGTTGCCGGGAGGATTCGTTTGGAGTTTCGGAGAGTTTTGGGACACTTAGTCCCTAAATGAGAGTTTAAGCTTTAGAATTTGGACCGTAGTCGGAGCAGTGTGAAGACGGCCTCGGAATGGAATTCCGTTGGTTCCGTTAGCTCCATTGGGTGATTTTCGTCTTAGGGGCGTGTTCGGATTATGTTTTGGAGGTCCGTATCTTATTTAGGCTTGAAATGCCGAAAGTCGAATTTTTGAAGTTTCCGGTTCAATAGTGAGATTTTGATATCGGGGTCGGAATGGAATTTCGGAAGTTGGAATAGGTCCGTCGTGTCATTTGGGGCGTGTGAACAAAATTTCAGGTCATTCGGACGAGGTTTGATAGACTTTTTGATCGAAAGTGGAATTTGGAAGTTTTGGGAATCCTTAGGCTTGGATTGAAGAGTGATTTGTGGTTTTAGCGTTGTTTGATGTGTTTCGAGGGTTGGAATAAGTTCGTATGATGTTTTAGCATTTGGTTGGCATGTTTGGTTGAGGTCCCGGGGGCCTGGGGTGAGTTTCGGGTGCTTAACGGAAGTTGAATTGGACTTAGGAAAAATCTGAAGTTGGTTGGATCTGTCATAACCGCACCTACGTGCATGGGACCGCAAGTGTGGGCCCGCAGAAGCAATGGAGAAGCCGCAGATGCGGCTGGGCGTTTGGAGCTCTGAAGTCGTAGGTGCAAGAGCTGGAGCGCACCTGCGAGACCGCAGGTGCGGTAGGAGAAACACAGGTGCGGTTTGGTGCTTTAAGTGAATTCTCGTAGATGCGCACCTGGGACCGCAGGTGCGGGTCCGCAGGTGCGTGGAAATGGCTGCAGGTGCGGAAACCCTGGGCCAGAACCTATATAAGGTTTCAGTCGCGATTTTTGCCCATTCCCACCATTTTCTTCCGGATTTTGAGCTTTTTGGGAGGTTTTTGAGAGAGAATTCAAGGGAGCTTCGAGGAGGTAAGGTTTTTGGAACCCAAACTCGTTATTATGGTATTTTTCTACTGATTTGGCAAGAAATTTATGGAAAATAAGGGTTAAATTTGGGGGTTTAGGGTTTGAAATTGGAGATCTGGAATTGGGATTTTAAGGGGTTGTTTGTGGTCCGATTTTTATGTATTTGGTATGTATGAACTCGTGAGAGTGTGAGGATTCTAGTTTTGCGAATTTTATCCGATTCCGAGACGTGGGCCCGCGGGACTTTTTGGGCGATTTTCCTAATTTCGCATGTTAGCTTCGAATTAATTAGTTGAATTAGTTACTTGAAGTTATATTTACATTATGAAATTACTTTGAATAGATTTGGGCCATTTGGATTCGGGTACTCGTGGCAAGAACGTGATACCGAGTTGATTGAGCTGGTTCGAGGTAAGTGGCTTGCTTAACCTTGTGTGGGAAAACTCCCCTTAGAATTTGGTATTGTTTATATATGAAATGCCTTGTACTTGAGGTGACGAGTGCGTACATGTGCTAATTGTTGAAAATCCGGTTTTCATTAAGTAACTATAATTGTATTTTCTTCCCTGTTTATACTACTTGCAATTTAAGACTACTGTTAGCTTAGGAAAGCATGTCTAAAGGACTCAACTGTTTTACTTGCTCAAACTGCTTTATTTGAATTCTGTGCAGCGTGCTAGGTTAGAAATACCTATTTTACCTTGGTATGAAATTGGATTGAATTGAATATTCTTCGTATTGCTGTTGTGTGTTTACTTTGGGACTACGGACGGTATCCCGGTAGATCCCCCTTGCCCGTTTATTTGGGACTACGGATCGGTATTTCGGTAGATCCCCCTGCACAGTTATATTGAAACAATGGGACTGCACCCGGTAGATTTCCCCAGTACTAGATATTCACATTTGGGACTATGGATTGGTATTCGGTAGATTCCCTGCACACTATGAGTTGGACTACGGGACGACACCCGGGAGATCCACTGGATATTTACATTTGGGAACTACAGGACGGTATCCTGGTAGATCCCCGCTTGCTGGTTATTTACATTTGGGGACTATAGGACGGTATGCTGGTAGATCCACGGTTGCTGTCTCTGTGTAGAGCTATCTTCTTTCTGTGATTTTATCTCTGTTGTAGTTGTTGTTATTCTTATCACCCTGTGTTGCTTTATACTGTTTCTTTTCCCTATATATATATATATATATATATATATATATATATATATATATATATATGTGTGTGTGTGTGTGTTTATGACCGGTAGGGCCCTGACCTTCCTCGTCACTACTCGACCGAGGTTAGGCTTAGCACTTACTGGGTAGCGCCATGGTGTACTCATGCCCTTTCCTGCACATATTTTTCGTGTGCAGATCCAGGTTCATCGGCTCAGCCATACCGTTAGTGAGGCGAGGCGACCTTCAGGGACTTTGAGGTATATCTTCCGCGTCCGCAGACCGAGGAGTCTCTCAATATCTCTTTCTGTTAGCCTTAGGTCTTCTGTACTCTCTGTTGACCAGATATTCTGGAGTTAGAAGTTTATGTAAACATTCTCAGCTTGTGATTTTATGAGATTTCGGGTTTTGAGAGTTATTCCAGTTTTTGAGAACATGTATTAGTTTATGCCGAGCGACATCTTAAACATTTCTATCTTTATTTATCTTCAATTTTTATTGGTCTTTTCGCATTTTGTTTCTTTTCCAAAATTGTTAGGCTTACCTAGTCGTAGAGACTAGGTGCCGTCACGACAGTTCAAGGAGGGCGAACTTGGGTCGTGACACCAATACACTCTCTTCGTAAGACTTAGTAATCCAAACATGTAAAAAGCGAGATATAATGTATCCAGCAAAAAATTATTAAAAAGAACGGAAAAATTATATCCATAGCAAGCAAAATCAGGAGACAGAAAAAAAGGGCAAAACTTAAAGATGTAGGTTAAACACCAAAAGAAAGAAGAAGAAATAAAAGCACAGAAGAATTGAGAAAGTTACACACAGATGGGGAATGAAGGTTGGAGAAGAAGAAATTGCAGAGGAATTGTGTCCTAATTCCACTTTTGAAGACTACTAACAAAAAATATACAAATTACTAACCTGCATGTAAAAGATTCAACAGAAAAATCCAAAATATGAAGAAAACCAAATCAGATGTATCAAAATCATATCACCAAAAAATGAGTGCAAGAAAGAAAGAAGGAGAATGAAGTAAAATCTAGCAGAAATTTACAAGCGCCACAAGTAGAAGAGAGTTGAGACACTCACAAATAAAGATGGTCTTATAATAGCAAAGTTGTGAAGTACTGCTATAGATGACATAGTTAAATAAATATATATAAGTGCAGTACACATGATTTGCTAAAAGTAATTAGCACACGTGTCCCTCTTAGAAGACATGCAGAATTAGCTATTTACACTTAAGCTCTAAAGTGCCGTTTGTAAATAGTAAGAATAAGAAAATCCCAAATGTATCCGAAGTCCGAACGGTGTTCGTACACCTAAAGTGCCGTTTCTAAATAGTAGAAATCTCAACTGATTTTGAAAACCTAGCTAGGTGTGTCAATGAGCAAACACAATTTTGCTTTGATCTAACTAATTTGTTTTCCTATTGTTTATTTGAAATAAGAGTTTTCTAAGATATATTAATCAATTTGTATTTGGTTCCATCAGTCAATCGTATATTCACAGATTTTGAATCAATGTAACAAACCCGTAATTCCTCACTATATAATAAGAACGGAACACTAATTACAACCTTGAGATATCAATTGGAACACTCAAACTACTATATGGAAACTAAGTAACTAAGAATAGAGATAAGAATGGGGATGAGAAGCAGAACTCAGAAAAAGGGGATGAGGTACGAATTAAGAAGAGAAGAGAGCCGAAGCTTGAACATAATTCGTACATCCCTTTTGCAACACCTAATTCTCCTTTTAATAGCTTGACTGCTCTCTCTTTCCTGGGTCCCATACAAAGTTTTCTAATATCTCAAACAAGTCTTTTACCTTAGTCTTTTGGCCAATCTCGTTCATAACAATACTCCTTTCCTCAATAAGAACCTTGTCCTTAAGGTTCGGGTTAAGAACAATGTTAGTAACACTTGTTCCGCCAATTGTGACTATACGAAGGTAGTCTCTGTGATAAGAAAAGATGTGATCTATCACTGTGTCAAGGTGACATGAGATGTTGGCCAACACAACATTGACAACCTTTGGGAAAATGTCAGCACTAACCATACGACAACAAGCTAGCATCTTGCCATGAGGAGGGTCACACTTGACTTGAGTTTCCTCGACAATTCTATGCAAACCAGTAGCAAGAACAATGGTGGACTCAATAAGTAGAATGATCTTGGGGTTCCTTAATAGAACTCGTTGTCCACAAAGGACCATAGCGCCTTCCATCATCATCAATAACATATTGGAGATCAAGAAAATATTGGGTTGTAGAGCAGCCTGGCAAGCATTTGACAGATACTCCCAAGAATAAGTGCATATATGAACCTTATTTTCAAGCAATCCAGACTCATTGAAGATGATTCAGTTGACGCATTCTTGCTAACCATTACACAACATAGTGTTGTAGGGGAAATAAGGTTGACAAGGTCCAAAATCAATCCTAATTACCTTTGACTATTGTCATTGTCAAGGATAACATCACCTGTAATTACATAATTAATAATTTCAGAAGTCATGTAATGAGCATCATTAATGCATACCAGCTTGATCTCCCCTGCACAATATATATTCTTGCTTACTATGAGAAACCTCGTTTCACCAAGTGCAAGTACATAAAAATGGGCGTCACATCAAAACAGTAATAGCAACTCATTGAACGTGAATTCTGTTGGACCAACTTCAAGCATATCCCCAAGTATAGCAACTTTTATACTTTGGCATATGATGTTTCTTAACAGCGCAGTGTCACCCTTGGCCAAAAGCAATTCTCCAGAGGAATTAGCTACATGAAGGAATAAGGCTATCGTAAGAAAACAAGGAAGAAAACTTTTATTTTTGTCATCATAAGAATAGCTGTCAGGTAAAGCAATGTCCATATGTGCTTGAGACCTCACAAAAGTCCAATCAGCAATATAAAAATGAGTAACCTTTGGTAAAGTAGTAACTAACAGTGCCAAATCATACTGCAGATTTTAGGAATGCGCAAACCATGGTTGTCCCGGATCCCACACTCTAGTCTTAGAGTTAGAATAGGCAATGACGCACAACCTGCTAGTACCAGTAATAAAAAGACCGCCACATACTTTGTAGAATCTTTTAGAGCCAAGAACTCAAAACTTATTTCAGGATCCCATACACTAAGAGCTGGCGCAGTTGCTTGAACAGTTGCTATAAAGAAATTAGCACCATTAACACATGAAAATTGACTCAAAATACGTTTATCATTGAATCCCTAGCATAACTTTCATTTACATATTCAAGAAGTACTTTAACAGAATGTCTTGCACTAGTCAAAATGACACCCTCTTTCTTTGTACCAAAATTATCAAGATATTGATCTTCAAAAATTATGGGGTCCATAAAAAATTCAGCAAGATACATGTCTTTAAATATCGCCAATTCAAGTATCCATTTAGGAGGTCTGCTATCAACAGAGGAGGCATTTACATAGCTCGTTCCAGATGTTCATGCGGCACTACATAAATTTGTGTACCTCCCGAAGCTTGGCATCCAGAGAATACCACTCTATTTTTCAAGCTCTTATGTGTTGCGGCATTCCGAAAACCAGGAGGCAGTAAGGACCAAATGATTGATTTAATGAGCAAAGAGAAAACTCTGCAATCTCGGCACATTCACCATCTAAATCTGTTGTGGTGATAAGTGGAAGAAATCCCTCAATTTGTGTTAAATCTTCAGATTCAACACATGAATCAGCCTTAAAATCTTGCCTTGTGTCGAACCAATTTTCCACACAACTACAAAATGGAATAGTCCCTATAGGTGATCTAGACACATAGTCGAAAGATGCACAAGCCCTCGGTTGACAGCAATAACAAGTACCAAGTATATGACAATCGTCCAAATTGATATTAACAGGCACAACAAGTATTCAACCAATAGGAAACTTATCACCTAGGATCAAGCTAGAGAAAGGATCCAACATCATAGTTGCAATGTGACGGAGCTGTGCGGCAGTATCTCGTTGAGGACTTATAGCGAACACCTGATCTGCAGAGTTGCTTGAATTTTCCTCCACCTTAGTGCAGTCTCTGTGGTCTTCCTCTGATTTTCCATCGTCTGAATCAGAGTTTGTCTTCATTGCATCTAAAAGTTCCTCAAATGCTATAGACAAAATCTCAAATTGTTCCATCTCTTTAGGCACAAAATAATCTCGGCCAACAAGAGAAACTAACTGAGCTTCATCCTTTGAAAACTGAGATATGCATATCACGTTCACTACTTTGGGGATTTTCATCAAATACCTCATCTACGACAGCCGCATTCTTGTCTCCATTAACTAGACGAGATTTGGGTTCGTGAGTTTCGGGGATTTGAGTAGAGGCAAACTCAGAGGTCACTGGTGGAACCAATGTAGCGCAATTCAGGTAGTCAACACAAGCTTGTGAAGTAACTGCCACTCTCGACGAATCAGTGAAGGTCCGTTTCTGAAAATGCAGAAGAAACTTCTCCTTGAAATGGTTCCAATAATAAAATTGGTTGTTGTGAAGTAACAAATCGAACCACGCTAGGGCATCGCCTTCTAGATAGAAGGAAGGAAGAGGCAGCCAATCCTTGTTGAAGAAGCCAAGGCATGTGAAGTACAACTCGGCCCGAAAAATCCAGCTATCTAGATGTCGTCGCCACTGAATCAAGGTAGAAACATCGTCGCTGTTGGATTCCTCTCAATAAAAGCACCAATGTCACAAACCCATAATTCCTCACTATATAATAAGATGGAACACTGATTACAACCTTGAGATATCAATTGCAACACTCAAACTACTATATGGAAAATAAGTAACTAAGAAAAGAGATAAGAATAGGGATGAGAAGCAGAACTCGAAGAAAGGGGATAAGGTGCATATTCAGAAGAGGAGATGGGAAGCACAGTCTTGAAGCTTCAACATAATTCGTATATCCCTTTTGCAGCACCTAATTCTCCTTTTAATAGCTCGAACTGCTCTCCCTTTCCCTGAGTCCCATACAAAGTTTTTCAATATTTCAAACAAGCCCTTTTACCTTAATCTTTTGGCCAGTCTCTGTTCATAACAATCAATGGGAACTTGAAAATGCTTTAGAGCACAATAACAAAACTTGGTAAAGTATAGGATCTAACTTTTCCAAAGATGGCGTAAAGTCAGGTCCAAAATTATTTATATAATAATAATCTTTATTAATAAGCGTGGATTTCTTACATAAAAAGATAATTTAATATAATCATTAGACTGTATTCCTAAAATAAACATCATTTGAGCTCTGACAACACATAATGGGAGCTTACTGAGTAGCTTTAGCAAGACACCACCAAGATTGACATACTTATGGGCGTCAAAACTCATAGACTTCTCCTTGCGTGTCTTCAACATGCCACAGCTCGCCCATGACATTACTATTGCTATCGGCATATTTATCTGAAATAAACTTGAAAACTCTTACATCATTTGTCGGGGCTAAACAGTTTTAAAATATTCTTAACATGACATAGTAAATTCTGCACAATTTTTTGAAACAACATTATATCATTTAAAAGTACACATACAATATATATTTAAAGGATACAGTTTTTTTCTTCTTTCATATGGAAGTATATACTAGTACTCTACACTAAAATAAAACTGTGAAATGGAAAAACGGAATTGTCTTGTATCCAAAATTTAGCAAGACAGAAGGCCATGGGAATGTCATGTCAATTTTTATTGGGCCTGTGAATGATCATCTCAATTCTCAACCCTCTCTAGTCGGGAAAAATTCAAAAATAGCCAAATTTACCACTGGTCGTTGAAAAATAGCCAAGTTTGAAAAGTCATCGAAATTTAGCCACTTTAAATCTGAGCGAACACACTGTTCAAAATCCGGAAAAATACGCCCGCAAATTTTACGGGAGTTCCAGCATAAGTATGCTTGAACTCCCGTAAATTTTACGGGAGTTCCAGGATAACTATGCTGGAACTCCCGCAAATTTTACGGGAGTTCCAGCAAGTATAATTGTCCAGTATAATATACTGGAGTTTGGAGCACTGGTGCTCCAGTCTCCCGCAAATTTTACAGGAGTTAGCAAAGTATACCGGTTCAGCATAATATGCTGGAGTTCGTACACAAATGCACCAGAACTCCCGTATATTATACTGGACCGGTCCCTGTTGCAGCAAAATAATGGCTATTTTTCATTGACTTGATAAACGCTGGCTATTTTTCATTGACCAGTGTGAAAACTGGCTATACCATGATATTTTTAATCTCTAGTCTCCTGTCCTTCTCATCACACACGTGGCCCAACAACTCTAAGTCATTCCAAAACTTACAGATGCACACGTATACACTTTAGGTGGGCCCCTTCACCACATTGTGCATCCTAATAATTGAGGGCCTAGCTTTTCTTGTACTGTGTTATATATTTTGGGCCTAGGTCCTTTTGTCGTCAAAATGGGTAGCCATTTTTACGGTCGGCTATCCAAAAATAGCTACCATCGCTAATGTAATCGATTTTTAGTTATTTTAACTTAAAATATGTTAGTAAATGACATAATTGTCCTTGAATTTTTTAACATCATGTTTAGTTACTTTTCATATTTTATCGTCCTTCTTTTTTTTTTTTTATAGCAGTGTCGGATTTCGCTTTCGTCAGCACTTTCTTCGAATCTTGTCTGGGTTAGGTCCAATTTTCTTCAAAATTATCTAGGTGAGTGTTTTTTTACCATAATGTGTTTGAATTTTCGTTGTTATTGTTGTTTCGTTAGGTTTAAGTTTGATTTCCGTACTGTTAGCGTTTAAATATTTGTGGTATTTTAACTTTTACGATTTTTTCTCTGTTCATTAGTTCGTCTTATTTCTGATAATTTTGTCACTCTATTGTTAGTTTTATGTTGTAATATTGTAATCGTTGTGTAATTTATTTTGATAAGTTGTTTAAATATTTTTCTAGTCTCTATATATTAGAGTTAATTTTCAAGTATTTTTTCGCTTCAACTGCATTATAGTTTTCTCCAGTTCTTGTTAAAACTTGAAATCCAGAACAATGTGCTGGACTTCATATTTAAATTTGGTATAGTATATTATACGGGAAATCTGTCTTCTGAAGGCTTGTTTCCCAGTATTTTATACTGGATCATTTTTTATTATGTTTTTTGTTTATCGAGTTTAGTAATAAATTTTGTTCAGTATATTATACTGGAAGTCTGTCCTGTGAATATGTCTTTCAGTATGTTATACTGGATGATTATTATAATATAGTTGTGTTTTGTTTGATTCTAGTATATTTTACGGGAAGTCTGCTGTGTGTAAGCTTGTTGTCCAGTATGTTATACTGGATGAGTTCTGTTTAGACTATAATTTTGTCTTAATTGTGATTAATTTATTTGAATGATTATTTGTCTTTTTCTTTTTTAATATGCTATTTGATCCAGTATGTAATACTTGAGTTTTGGTTAATTCCAGTATATTTTATGGGAAGTCTGCCGCCTGTAAGCTTGTTGTCTAGTATGTTATACTGGATGAGTTTTGTTTAGACTAGAAATTTATTTTATTTGTATTAATCTTTTTGAATGATTATTTGTCTTTTTCTTTTTTAATATGTTCTTTGATCCAGTATGTAATACTTGAGTTTTGTTTGATTCCAGTATATTTTATGGGAAGTCTGCCGTCTGTAAGCTTGTTGTCCAGTATGTTATACTGGATGAGTTCTGTTTAGACTAGAATTTTATTTTATTTGTCATTAATTGTTTTTAATGATTATTTGTCTTTTTCTTTTTTATTAAAAAGTTAGATGTGTTCTTCTTATTTGAATCACAGATATCTCCAGTATAATAAGCTGGAAGAGTCTGAGTTTTTGATATTAATTATGAAAAATCCAGCATATTATATTGGGGTTATCTTTTGTACCATTTTATGTATTTTTTTCGGTTTTTAATTAAAAATCCCTGCAGTTTTATATGCTGCAGAGTTTGTATCTTTGACATATGTAATCATAAAAGTTTAGCATTTTATTCACAACATTAGGGAAACCTTAAAAAATTTGATGTGTTTCTTCTGGTTTGAATCATTGATGCTGCCAGTATAATCTACTGGAATTTTCTGAGTTTTACATATTAAATTAAAAAAAGTGCAGTATTTTATACTGGTGTTTTGTTCTATACCATTTTATTTATAAGTTTTTATAGTAGTTTGAATGAAAAAAACTTCCAACATAATACATTGGAGTTTTATGAGTTTTACATATTAATTCAGAAAGCTCCAGCGTATTATACTTGTATTTTTGTTCTGATTTTGAATCAAGGACTGTAACACCATTTTATGCTGCAGACATTATAGTTTTCACATATATAATCATAAAAGTGTAGCATTTTATTCAAGAAATTAGGAGAACCTTAAAAAGTTAGATGTGTTCTTCTTATTTGAATCACAGATACCTCCAGTATAATAAGCTGGAAGAATCTGAGTTTTTGATATTAATTAAGAAAAATCCAGCATATTATACTGGGATTACTTTTGCACCATTTTATGTATTATTTTTTATGATTTTTAATTAAAGATCTGTCACGACCCGGACTTCCCACCGTCGGGATCGTGATGGTACCTAACTTTTAGAATGCTAGGCAAGCCAACAAATAAAGATCTAATACGCTATCCGCTATCCAAAACAGTAAATAACAATAATTTAAACCAAACAAAGGAAAGAAGTGCGGAAAATTACAATAATCTAAACACTAATACACGATTACCCAGAATCTGGTGTCACAATTCACGAACTTCTGAGAGTCACTACAAACACTGACCGAAAGAAAAATACAGCTGTCTTTGAATCTAAGTAAAAACAATGAAATGGGACAACTGGAAGGGGACTCCAGGGTTTGCGAACGCCGGCAGATCTACCTTGGGTCTCCTGATGGACTGAAGGAACCCAACTCAAATCAACACGTCCCAGTACCAACATCTGCACAGAAAGTGCAGAGTATAGTATCAGTACAACCGACCGCATGTACTAGTAAGTATCGAGCCTAACCTCGGCGAAGTAGTAACGAGGCTCGGACACGACAATAATATGAACCTGTGCAATTAAGTCATATACGAGAAAATAACAACAAATGGAAATTTAGCAGATAATAATGGGAAGGGGGAAAATATGCTGAGGGGAATATTAAATCCTGAAAATAGTACAGTAAAGAAACACAATAAATATCATGCTTTGCACCAACAAAAGTACTAAATAGCAAACAAGTGCACGGCATCACCCTTCGTGCTTTTACTCTCGTCCTTACCATAAGAAACAATAGAAACGGCACGACATCACCCTTCGTGCATTAACTCTCTCACGACATGGCACGGCATCACCCTTCGTGCATTACACTCACAGAATATGGCACGGCATCACCCTTCGTGCATTAACACTCATAGAATATGGCATAGCATCACCCTTCGTGTATTAACACTTACTCACAAAATATTGCACGGCATCACCCTTCGTGCTTTTACACTCTTCCTCACCCAAACAACAGAACAATAACAACCCGACAAGGGAATCATCAATAACCAACCTCGTTTCAATATTTAACTTCACAATATAAATCTCAACTTGAGTCAATACTCAACCAATATCCAATTCCAGGAAAAACATGATAAGATTTGTTTAACATGAAGAATAACCAGATTAAGCATGAACAGTACGAATAAAGAATACAACAGTTACAAGTATAAGACTCACTCGCATGCTATGACTCGACAACAACGTATAGGTACGCGTCACCTCACCTATACGTCGTACTCAACAACCAAACACTTAGCAAATAGACAACAACACCTAATCCCTCAAGCTAAGGTTAGCCACAACACTTACCTCGATTCCACGGCCGAACTCAAGCCTCAATCACCGCCTTTCCTCTAGTTTCCACCTCCGAACCACTCATATCTAATCATAATTAACTTAATAATATCAATTATCGACTAAGAAACCAATTCCAATGCACAATTACAAGTTTCCCAACAATTCCCCAAAAAAGTCAAAAATTGACCCCGAGCCCGCTTGGTCAAAACTCGAGGTTCGGACCAAAACCCATTCACCTACGAGCCCAAATATATAATTAGTTTCGGAATCCGACCCAAAATCGAGGTCTAAATTCCCAAATTCGCAAAATCCCCAAGTCTTCCTAAAATCCCTAATTCTACCATGAAAGAACAAGATTTAGGGCTAAAAATCTAATGGGTGTCGATGGATATCGAAAGAGATGAGTTAAAGAACACGAACCTATGATTTGGTGTTGAAATCCCTCTTCAAAAATCGCCCTAGGCTAAGTTCTAGTGAAGAAGATATGAAAATTTGACCCTTTCCCATTTTTTGGTTCTGTTTTTAAAACACTGGACATGCCTTCATTGCGTTCGCGATGGACCTGTTGCGTTCGCGATGCATTGCGGCCAGAAGGGCGTTCGCGATGGTATGTCCCCCTGACCATCACGTTCGCGGACCTGGGACCGCGTTCGGGACGAGCAACTCAATGATTCCCCAACCCACCTCTGTATGGGT